TGTTGGGAATGATGTAGGAATGTAAGTCCCTCCTCGAGGGTCAGGGATAGGGTTAGGGTTAGTGTTAGGATTCCAGTGAGTGATAGCCTTGGAATTTCTCTACTTGGGTATTGGGCTGTGCGATACTGGATAGTATCAGGATGAGATTTCACCTTGGCTTTACCACAGTGCTTTATTTAAAGTGGCACCCTGTGGGTATTGAGGAATCAGGTTGTGGGTTAGGGTTAGGGTTAGGATGGGTAAGCATGATATGGAGGGAATTCACATTCCAGATAGATTGCATGTGAGAGGGAAGGTGAGGGCAGTACCTTTTTTTAAGTTGTTATGAAATGTATGTTTCCAAGGACTTGAACATTGAGGTCTAGATATATGGCATAGTTACTGGCCAGAGAGTAGGTTTCCAGCTAGATTTAGGGAACCGAACAGGCTCCCCATTTCAATCCCGGTGTAGTGTAGTGTACCTTTGAGGGAAAGGACTCATGTTCATTTGACCTTCAGTGTTAGGAATGATGTATGAATAGAAGTCCCTCCCCAGGATCAGGCTTAGAATTAGGATTAGCAGTAGGATTCCAGCGAGTGATAGCCCTGGAGTTTCTCTACCTGCCTTTTGGGGTTTTGGTTTCCTAATTAGTATCAGCATGAGATTTCACCTTAGGCTTCGTGACTGTGGAGGATTTCAAGTACCGCCCTATGGAAACTTAGGAATCTGGTTGTGGTTTAGGTTTAGAGTTAGGACTGGTGAGTATAATACAGAAGGGATTCACATACCAGACAATTTGGGTGTGCGAAGTAGGTTGAGGGCACTGATTTCTGGAAGGTAGGATGGACTGTGGTTTTCCACGCACACGAAAATTTCTGCCTTGAAATAATAGGTAGTGATTGACCATCGATTATCATTTTAGCTAGATTTGGCCGATTGAATGGTCTCCCCTTTTGACTCCGTTTGTAGTGCAGTGTGTATTTGAGGTTAAGGGTTGCTGTTAATTTGACGTTCAGTGTTACGAATGATGTGGGACTATACATCCTTCCTCGAGAGTCAGGGATAGTGTTTTTGTTAGTGCTAGTATTCCCGAGTAGGATATCCTTGGAATTTCTCTTCCTGGGAATTCAGCTCTGGGATTCCTACATGGTATCAACATGAGATTTCACCTTGGCTTAGCCACAGTGCTAGATTTCAAGTTCTGCCCTGTGGGTATTTTGGAATCAGGTTGTGGGATAGGGCTAGGGTTAGGATTGCTGAGCATGATTTGGAGGGAATTCACATTCCAGATAGTTTGCATGTGAGAGGGCAGGTGAGGGAAGTGCCTTTTTTGAAGGTGGAATTTTATATGAGTTTCCCAGAACCTGAACATTAAGGCTTACATATAATGCATACTGACTGGCTACCGAGTAGGTTTTCAGCTAGACTTACAGGATGAAATAGGCTCCCCATTTCACTCAATGTGTAGTGTAGTGTGTGTTTGAGAATGAGTGTTGGTGTTCACTTGACGTTCGGTGATAGAAATGATATTAGAATATAAGTCCCTTCTCGAAGTTCAGAATTAGTGTTCCTGTTATTGGTAGGATTTCGGTGTGATAGTCTTGGAATAACTCTACCTAGGAATTGGGATGTGGGTTTACTACTTAGAAGCATCCTGAGATTTTGCCTTAGGCTTATGTTGGATTTGAAGTACCCTCAAATGGAAATTTAGGAATCAGGTTGTGGGTTAGGGTTAGGATTAGGATTGGTGAGCTTGATACAGAAGGAATTCGCATAACAGATAGGTTGCATGGGAGAGGGTAGGTGAGGGCTGTACCTTTTATGAAGTTGCGATGTACTGTGTGTTTCCAAGGAACTGCAAATTGCATCCAGATATACT